GATCAAGGGCACCGCGAAGGAGGAGCCGAAGGGCGCTGGCAAGAGCAAGCGCACCACGATGGAGGAGCCGAAGGGCGCTGGCAAGAGCAGGGGCAGCACGAAGGACTCGACGACGGGCGCCGGCAAGAGCAAGAGCAAGAGCAAGAGTCAGGACGGCAAGGGCAGTGGCGTCATCCAGGCGATCCGGAAGAAGAGGCCCGCTGCGGCTCAGAAGAAGCCAGCGGGCAACGGCGGGCTTCACGTCGCGTGGAAAGAGGACCTGGTTGAGGAGCGCGCCTTCGAGGTCGAGGCCGAGGCTCCGCTCGAGCGCGCGCGCGAGGAGGGCGAGGCGGCCCCAGGTGGGGACTTGTGGGGCCCCGGCGACGACGCGGACGCAGAGGCTGAGGGGCGCGCCCTGCCAGGAGCGGGGGCGGCCAAGGAGGGGGCCGGGGAAGAGCAGCACGAGGAGGAGGCAGAGGAAGAGCAGCCCAAGGAGGTCGACGAGGTGGTCGACCCCGAACTCCAGCGCGACCTCGACCACCTGACGCAGGTCCAGCTCTGGAGCGAGGAGTGGCAGGACACCTCCGTCATCAGGAAGCTCCGCAGGGAGCGCGAGGGGATCAACACCCTCGTAGCCAAGTGGTCGAGCGAGAAGGTCTTGAAAGGAGGTCGCTGGCCGACGTTCGTGATGCTCTCGGACCGCATGGCGAATGACTACTGCGAGTCGCTGGGCGCGACGACGGGCAAGGAGGCAGGGGGCATCATCTTGCGCCGCGCGATGCTGGCGTGCCTGGACAACATGGCGTTCGACAAAGGCCAGGCGGTGCAGGTCCGCAACGAGATTATGGGCAAGATCGGGCCTGACGTTCAGGACTGATGATGAGAAGTAGGGGGCGGATGAGGATGAGGATGAGGATGAGGATGAGATGGAGGAGGAGGATGGGGGGGGGGAGGAAAGGAGGGGAGGTATGGTGAGAGGTATGAGTGGAGGATTGAGGACCAGGAATGGGGTGAGGATGAGGAAGATGAGGAGGATGAGGAGGAGGAGGATTGGAGGAGGAGGATATAATGAGGAGGAGGAGAGGATGATGACGAGGAGCGGGGGGGGGGGGGGAGGGGGGAGGAGGAGGAGTAATCATGGGGATGATGATGATGATGAGGAGGAGGAGGAGGATGAGGATGGGGGAGATGAGGACGAGGATAGGACTGAGGACGAGGATGGGGAGCAGGAGGAGGACGAGGATGATGAGAAGGATGAGGAGGGAGGGTGCGGAGGATGAGGAGGATGGGCCACCTTCCCCATGGGACGAGTCATGAACACCACGGGCCACGAGGTGAGCTCGGGCACGATCGACGATCAGAGCCTTCAGGCTCGACGTTCCCGCTGGGGAACCGATGGGGAGGAAAGCGCGGGGAGGGGGGGGGGGGGGGTGGGGAGACATGCTATGAGGGGATGATGAGGATGAGGATGGGGGCGAGGAGGAGGAGGAAGAGGGGGGCGAGGGAGGAGGAGGGGGGGGGGGGGGGGGGGGGGCGATTCATGCGGGGAAGGGGGGCGAGGCAGATGCGGAGGCTGAGGGATTGATGAGGAGGAGGATGAGGAGGGCGATGAGGAGGAGGAGGGTGATGGGATTGAGAGGTGGGGATGAGAGGAGAGGAGGGAGGATGATGCGGAGGAGGGGAGAATGTCGTCGAGGATGATGAGAGATGGGTAGGAGAGATGGGGGAGAGAGATGGGGGAGAGGATGATGAGGAGGACGAGGAGGAGGACGAGGAGGATCAGGAGGATCAGGAGGATGAGGATGAGGACGAAGATGAAGGGGGTGAGGAGGAGGAGGAGGAGGAGCAGGATGACGAGGATGATGAGAAGGAGGATGGGGAGGATGAGGAAGATGAGGAGGACGAGGAGGAGGATGAGGGGGATGAGGATGAGGATGAGGAGGAGAGGAGGATGAGGAGGATGAGGAAGATGCGGGCGATGCTGAGGATGAGGGCGCACGAGGGGGAGCAGGAGGATGAGGATGATGACGAGGAGGGGGATCATCCTGCCAGGCTGGGGCGACGGCGGCGGCCCCTACTGCCCCAGCGGCACGCACCTCCCGCTCCCTTGGCTTCGCTCGCTTGGCCCGCCAGCAAATATGCCAAGGGGCGGGAGTTGCCGACCGCTCAGCGG